AAAAAAAAAAAAAACAAAAAAAATTAATGCGAACGCACCGAAACGAACGGAAAAAAGAAGAAAAAGAAAAAAAAAAAAAGAACGCGAACGAGATATTCGTGACGTTCGGTTCCAAATACCGAAATGTCTATTACCTGTGAACGTTTGAAATCGTTTTTAGATGGAAATGCAATTGTATGCGATAATATAGTTCCTGTATTATACATAACGTATATAATATAAATTTAATATACATAAATTATTCTATTAGTAGAGCTTTAGACTATTCTAACAGTAGTACATTGTGCGAACCAAAAATTAAACGTCACCTTGATATGTAATTGCCGTAATTATTATTTCGATATCGATTTAATGTATGAGCATTGCATCACTTTAAGCCGCGTTTACGTTAGGCAACTTTTAACGAAGAATCGAAAGAATCGATTGATCTATCGAGTAACGATCAATGGAGAAATTTTGGCACAGATGTTGTTCACATTTAGTTCCCCTTTGATTAAAAAAAATACAATAAACATTATCGTATAATAAATATCCCTGTCTCTACGAATATTTTTTCTAGCATTTAACGATCGGGTGTAAATTATTTTTTACGAAGAAATTGAAAATAATTACATTCTTTCACCCGATTTAGTTTATTATTCAAGAGGCAAGTTGCTTTTAAACAACTTTTAATCGAGCAAATTAAATTTTAACCGGATAAAATAAGTGACTCGAGATCGGTTAAAAATTATTTGACGTGAACGCAGCATCTTTTAATCAAATGATCTTTGTAACGAAATGAATAGTTAGTAATTGAATTTGATTAAAAATTATTTCAATTATCAATTAATATTGCGCTCGCGAAAATAATCTTGACCGATTTAAGATCAATCTGTGCGATCGAAAGTTGCCCAATGTAAACGCGGCTTTAAGAGTCCGCTCGAAGTTTTTCTCGGCAAGAGCGCCGAAGACGATCGAAATAAGAGAAAGACAACATACGGTAATGTGGAGCAAGGGACAATAAAGACAACCTACTAACGTTTCTCTTTCGATTAAGTTGTGATCAACATTGCGAAAGACGAAGAAAATTATAATGATGATGAAAATTCGATGCAAATTTTTCTTCACATTAGCATGTATCTAATTTTTAATTTTTTAGTAGAGGAGATTTTATTATACAATGCATTTTTCGGGGGACTTTGAAATATTTGAAAAATTTCTCGTGATTCCGTTTGACAATGAAAACGATAATTGTTGAAACGTATCGATATCAAATGCTCTTAACCTCTTAAGGAAATAGTTTTATCTTATTCGAAAAAATTATCATCGTCGTTAACTCTATTAAATTGTCGGAGTAAAAACTATTTCGTGAATTTAGAAAATTAGAGGAAGTAGCGTATTTGTTCATAACATAATTTACAAAGAGTGAGAAATGTAGGTCACTTCGATCAGTGGTGTACTTGAAAAACATGGAATATTTTACTATGTTTATTATGTTAATTCTTTTAACTTTATTCCAATTATCTATGTACGATTATTATGTATTATAAAAATATGATCTTGTCAGTAACGATTGTAATGAAAATCTCTACTAATGATATTATTATCGCATATTTAATTCACTAGATATCGTAATAAAAATTAAATATTGAGTAACGAAATTTGCCACTATTAGATAAAAATATGTATATTGATTAATAATACTATCCAAGAAAGAAAAACGCGATATATCGTAAAGTATAATTTAACGTGATTATTTGTAAATTTATGTGTTCGAGTAATATAATTTAATATTTCCTATCGTTATCACTTTTATTCATTGCAATACGAATTTAACGTATAATTTTATTTATTTTCGCTAAATATTATTATTATGGAACTTTATTTTAGATGTTTATAATAAATTCTATATATTTGATTCGTTGCTATGTTTAACTTATTTAATAACGAGATATGAAATGATACTATAATCGGTTAAATTATAAACGTTGTTAGTATTCATCAAGACTGTGTTTCTAATTAATTTATTGCGATATACTTGGTTTTAAAAATGTTGCCATTTCGTTTCGCGTAAAAAATCGATGCATATCATTAAAAAAAATCGGCCATCGTTTCGTAATAAACTCTCTGCATTGATCAAGATAAAAGATAAATGTCATTTGCATATAAGAATTTGAACACAGAATATCTCTCTACAATGAGATTGATATCAACTTATAACTTCAAATTTGAAAAATACATATTTCCTAAACTCGTTATCGTATATTTTGATACATATAGTAAATAAATAAATTCATATTCGTATACCTTTGATGAAACAGTGAGAATAAATGGAACGTTTGATACACGACATTTTATTTAATTTTTTAAAAATAAATTTGATAAAAAATTTTTTTAATACTAATTGTTTAGGAAATATATACTTTGTAATATGTTGTAATGAGAAAACAAGATTAAGTCGCGTTCTATAAAAATGATATTTATCTATTACAAATTTTATTTTATACTTTAAAATAATCACACGTATAAGATTTCTGTTTTCAATTGTGATTACTTCAGTGGCTGTAAAGAAATTTGAATCTTATGATGTTGTATTACGAAACTAACTAAAATTTTATATCTACACATTGTACGTTAATAAAAAAAGAATATAACACGTTTACGACGAAACTTACGGTATTAAACTTGTGATATAATATAAACGAAGAATATACCAATACTTTGATCTTTATTAATGAAAAGAGAAAAATAAATATATATCTTTTTCTCACGAAGAAACGAGAAAGTAAAAGAAAGATTAAAGAACACAATAATCGAGTCTTTTTTTTTTTTTCAAAATTCGAAGCCTGAGCTGATGTTCGAATATACAAAAAAAAAAAAAAAAAAAAAAAAATAATATATATAGAAAGCGAAAAATTACAAGACAAATAAATTAGAATAGCACAACCTCTATAACACGATATACATTTTTAATTACGTTGATATTTGTACGGTTATAGCTTAAGTTCAAAGATTGCGATTGTCCATATGCGATTTTCCACAGCACGTGTCCAACGTATCGCACGATTCACGTAAAATCTGTATAATTTAAGGAAAAATAGACCGACGATATAATAGGTGATAAAATAGGAAGCCCGTGTAAATTAAATTAAATGTCTCTTAGCTTCCAAATAACTTTTTAAAAGTGATGAAGAGAGAATAAATAAATAAATAAATAAATAAGTAAATAAATGAAAAAAGAACGTGTAGAGAAATTGAGAAACGCAAAGCGATGAAACGAATTTCTCAAAGAAGAATGTTTCAAAGATAAAACCCATGCACTTCTGCGTACCTAAAATAATCGACAGTAATCATTGTAAAGAATATATAACGTCGAAAATGCGGTCGTAAATTGTGCAAACGTATACAGGATAGCGTAATAATCATTGATTAATTTCTTAAGTTTCGAGAATGCTTTATCTAAGCGGTAAACGAAATGGATATAACTTATAAATAAATTGAAACGAAGTAAATGAAAAATAAATTTATATATGTATACATATTATATGTATTTACGAGAACGATCTATCTATGTATACATGTACCGCGCGTATATGTGTATATACATATGTGTTTGTATGTGTGTATGTGAATGTATATACATACATATACATATATATCGGTTAGCAACTACTTTCAAGACTGTGGAACATCATAGGTGTATAAATGTTTAAATAAATTATTATAACGTGGCAATCAATTATTTCTGTAATTATTTTTTCAAACCCTCTTTGAATCCAAATTATTCCCTTAATTTAATAATCATACAAACACTAAATAAGAAAAATCATTCAATCAAAATGTTATTCTTTACATACAATTGATTATTATACAATTATGATATTATTAAAATATTTCTAAAAATTCGAAGTTAATTCAAAAAAAATTTATCTCTTACAATAAAAAATTAATATATTTTTGAAAATTAAAACTGTATTCACACTCTTATAGTATTCTTTTTTATTTTTTATTTATTTATCAATATTTTTTTTATTTAGCTATTTACTTATTTATATATTTATTAAATTATTAATTTATTAATTATTATTATAATTTATAATAATAATCATATATAAACAAGACGGGCAAAGGACAAAAGGAAGGACAAAAAGGATAAAAATATAGTAATCAGCGCCATCTCTAGAGAACTATAGATGAAATATAGAAAAGGATTGCGAATAGTAGAAGAAAGATAGAGATAGAATTGATTGTCAACGCCATCTTTTAAGTGTTAAAAACATTATTTTAAAGGTAGGATAAAGTAGTATCATAGAGATTCTATGATAGAATTGAAGATCAGTGCCATTTTTTGAGTTCTTTTGAAAATGTCTTCAACATCAAAGAGATAGCGTTAATAATCAATTCTTATTTTATCTCTATCCTTTTTCTATTATTTGTTCTCGTTTATATTTAAAATTCATGCATTCAAAACATGATGTTGATATCTGATTTTTTTACTAATCTATTGATTATAAAAAAGAAATTATTATATTAACTTTTTGAACTGAATACAATTCCTGCACCGTTTTAAATCATAGATATTAAATCACAAACAAGAAAGATATAACACACTAACATCTAATAGAACTTTACATTATCTACTTTGAAATATCAAAATATCAAAATTTCAAAAAAGAATAAACTATTTTTTACATCATAGCATGCTGTAATCTAATATATTTTGCTCATTAATCATCTATTTGTCTACAATACATTGTATCTATTTAATTAACATTCTTGATTATGCATACACTTAATTTTAAGTACATTACTCAATCAATGTTTTTTTATGATGTAATCTTCTGTTCTCGTATAAAATATTGAAATAAATATTAAAACATTTCAAACTTTCTATCCTATTCTATTCTATCTAAATAAGAAAAAGTTTCTTTCTTAGTTTTATTTCTATCTATATAAAAATTAAATATTTCATTTATAAATCTTGCCTGTCAAGAATCTAAAAGATTTTTTTCATTCATACCCTATTCCTTCATTCATTACATTCATACTAATAACTTTATAATTTTTACGAATTTATGATATGATATGAATCACATGTGATTAAAGAAAATGCAAATGAAGATATACAATGAAAACTAAATAAACAAATTGAACAAAGTTATATAGCTATCAAGTATTAAGGATATGTGGCCAGAGAAAATTAAGTAAGGATAATAAAGGAAGACTAGCTAAGGAAAACTAATGAACAAAGTTATTAAATGTTGAGAATTTGATTGTTAAGAATTTAATGAAGAAGTTATGAAATGATAAACAATCATCATCATGTTGCCTTAAAAAATAAGAGTATTTTTTCGAGAAACTTTGGATCAAAAGGAAATCAGTGAGGTGGAGAAAAAAAAACAAATCATTATATACATACATCACTTATAAACCTACCAAAAAACTAAATGTCTCTTTGAATCTATTTAATATAAATTTGGAGACTCATTTTTTCCTTCTTATAAAAAGGAAAAAATAATAGTATATTCCTTCTGTACTATTCTATTGAAATAGTTTTAAAATAGTTTATACAATTAATGAAACTGAATAATAATCAGTTTCAAGCAAATGAATTCAACTATTATTTTTAACTATATTTCTTGTCTTCTATTCATTTTTTTTAATTCGTAATAAACCTGTAATAAATTCAATTAGTAAACACAAAATAATTTATTTCCCTTAGAAAGGAAACATTAATTTCTGAAAAAAGAAATGAAATTAATAAAATATTGTTATGTAATTTATAATTTTAAATCAAAGATTTAAATCCATAAAAAAAAATAAATTTTTTAACAATCTTTTTAATAATATCTTCAAGGAGATACTAAAAAAAAAATAAAAAATAAAAAATAATTAAAAGAATTATCAGAATAAATCATCCACTCAATATAAGCCGAGCAAACCGTGAGTGGAACATCTTTTCTATTTCGCAACACTAATATACTAAATTTTTTCAAAAAAAAAAAAACACGAAGAGTGCTTTATTGTATTTGAAATGCAATTATTAATCAACAAAAAAAAAAGAAAAAAAGATAAGAGACTCGTAAAAGCAGATATTCTCAATAATAATTGTTTTAACTGTTTAAAGAACTCTAATAAATCAATTATGCACTCATTTTATTATACGCAACACTAATAACGAAAGATTGCAATCATACGAAAGATTGCTTTCGTACAATTTTCTTTGTGCAATCACAAAGAAATTAATTGTAACAGATGATCCGGAAGCAGGGATATGCTTCCACAGTAAATGGGCAATTTTTAACGCAACGCTACTATAAAAAAACGCGATTATTTATCAACGTAACGCTAATTCTTAAAGAGAATTAAATCCAAAATTTACAAATTATTATGCAAATGCAAAACTATACTTCAAATATTCCGATATTATAAACGTTAGTTCAAATTTAAAAAAAAAAAAAAATAAGTCTAAATCACAATCAAAATAATTAAATAATAATCGTTGATATTTTTCACAATATTAATTCAAAACGCGAAATTTATAAACGTAATTCTAAAATTCAAACCGTAATTCATCTTTTATCGCAACACTAATGCAAAAAATCGCGATTTGCCCATGATGATTGGACGATGATTGGCCGGCATGCAAATCGGCCAGACAACACAACAATTACTACATATTAAACTAAAACGAGCACAGTGACAAAATAGTAACAATGATTTCCCATTCTTTGGACCCAGGCAAGATCCAAAAAATGAGAAACCATTCGTTGCAGCCCTCTTCGTGACAGTTTGTCGGGCCTCTTCGATCTTCCTCCTTCGGGCGCGATGCCCGCTGAAACTTAAATCTAGGCTCGAGATTCACTAATCGCAAATCAAAGAAAAAGGAAAAAAAGGGACTAAATCGCGGAAAAGCTAAGTGCACGTGGACGACCAACGATCGCAATGATCGTTCTCCGTACACGCACAGAATCTCGAGCTCAACGTTCGTTTCGAAAGCAAATCGCGACCGCGACCGCGAAATTCGAAAAATCGATGAGCAAAGCCATGAAGACGAATGGTCATATTGTCCTCCATTTATCTCAGCTTCATTCTCGATTTCTCAAATTTTATTCCCTGAAACAGATTGTCACGCGAAAACGCGCCTACCCGATCGGAGACTGTGACAACCTGCCCGGCCCTACCTACTTATAATTAACAGACACACCAGAAAATATGCTACCTGTCCTACCTGGCCCTATATTTAAAAAATGGCAAAACAGGCATACCAACACACTCGTTCCACGATTCTCACGCATAACACTCGGGCGCAAAAACCTAAACTAGGGAAAGCGTCCCGGGACGCCTCCGACACCCGAGCTTGGCACACTACATTCACACTCTAACTGTACGTACCATTTTCCTGAAATCGACTGAGGATGGCTAGTGACCATTGCGTGAAAACTACATAATGAAATACACAATGATATAAATAATGGTGAAATGAAATATTACAATTTGAGAGTAAATTATTATTAATTAATAAATCTGTTATCATAAATTTTAATTGAATTAATGATTGTTAATAGATTTATAGTTAAGAACGACGCAATTCCACAGCCTAACCATACACACACACAGTGGAAAATACGTCGTGCACGATACACTAACGCATCATCAGTCGCTGAGAAATTGTTATAAATTTATCAACTAAAGTCATCGTGCCCATCGCCTTTTTCTCACCCAAGTGGCACCTGAGCACGTAAGTGAGATCCTGGCAATGAACACGGAAGGGATTAAATCTGAAAATCCTGAGCTAAAAAAGATAAATTGATATAAATAATAAACGGTCTAATAAACTTTAATTTTGTATTTTTTTTTGTAGATTCATTATATCTCAAATTTTAATGATTTCATTTTATATTTTACGTTTTATCAATGTAATAAATTGTTGATATTTTAATATTTTATAGAAAAAATTAAAAGGGAATATATTTATTAAAAGAGAGATTGAAATATAAATTAATAAAAATAATGACTCGAAATTAAATATTTTAATGTAAATATCCTCAGGCGATTTTTTCATCAAAGCATATTTTCGAAAATATGAAAGAAGTATTCAAAATTTGTAGCTTTGATCTCAAAATCTGCCTGTCGCGAAGTGTCTTCTTGCATGTAAAATTATTTATTATTATTAATATTATATATCTTGAAAATCAAATAACTAAATTGTACAAAATTGTCAAAATTCATGAATTGAAATTGAAATTCACATATTTAGATATTTGACATTTGCAAATATTCATATTAATATTCATACTAATACAATAATTTGATTTATAATTTATTATTAATAATTTAATTTTAGATGATTAAAATGGAAAATTAGTAATATTTAAAAAGACAATATACAAGAAGACCTAGCCTGAACTAATAAATAAAACATAGAAAAAGAAATTGTTACTATTCACGAGTATAATATATACTCGCGGTCACTGTGCTCGTGCAAAATTCTACGTATACAACCAATCACTCTGTCGATTTGGATCTTTCATCCTACGACATGATTGAGTGACCAGAGGAACCAAAAAGCATGCAACTCACCATTAGATGCGAAGAATCTGCATTTCTATCAATGTTGTTGCACTTTATAGCAAAGTATCTGTAACAAAAAAGAAAAATATCTGTAACAAAACGTAGAAAAAAATGGAATATTATAATTTATAATATGACAAAAATTGAAATTCTAATAAACATAATAATAATAAAAATCTTTAAATAAAAATTTAAAATTTTCTATTGATTCTGCTGGGTCTATTTCTATAATAATTTCTATAAAAGTATAAAAATTTAAATAGAAAAAAAGATAATTACCTCTTTGCATAATAGATGATCTTATTCTTTTGGAAGAAGCACTGATTCTATCTTATACCGAATACAAATATTTAAAATAAAAAAATAAAAATAAAAAACTATTAACACATTTGTATAATCGGCGAATAAGCACTGATTCTAAATTCGCGTATTATTATTTTAATTAAATTTACATAGAATTATTATAATTAAAAAATAAAAAATACTGATACGAAACAAACACTGACTCTACTAATTGCATTGCACGCAATTACAATAATCTGAAAAAAAAATTATATTGAAAAGAAAATCTAGAAAAGGAAACAAAATGTTTTCATATTTTCTTTTTTTTCCGTATTTGTTAAAAAAATATATTGTTATTTTAATTATATTGTACCATAATTGTATCATAAATGTTATAATATTTGATCATTTATTTATTCATTCCATTTTTATGTAATTTATAATCAATATCATAATAATAAATTATGATATTAAATTAAATTACCAATTATATTAAAATTTAATAAACAATTGAATAAATATATATTAATGAATAGTAGTTCAAAAAGTAAAAAAATAATATAATAATTATTACAAAATGAATAGATTACATACCTAAAACGAAGAATCTAATCGCCACGAGTTTCAAGAACAAAATGACGCCTCGCATAGCGATTTCAATATGTCGAATTGGAGAGGGGATATGTTTAATAATTCGACAAGTCGAAACGTGTCGACAATAACACAACATGAATCGTCAATTTCCTAGAAAAATAATTTATAAGAAATGTGTTCAAGCTTGAATGTAAAATCAAAACAAATAGAGAAATAAGAATAATACCGTAAGTTAAACGTATGAATAAATATATTTAGGAAAGAAATACATATATATAATACTATATATATGTATGTATATATGAATTGATTATAATGATTTAATTATTTTTATTAGTTAATCTCTATATAAATAAAAAAAAATATATAATAATTATATTTCTCTCTTAAAATAAGTAAAATCTTATCATACTTACACAAAAATTCATAGATTATTTCTTAATTTTCATACATGCAAAATTATTACACTTTCAAGGCCGAATCACGTCTTCGAAGCTTCCAACAAATGATCATATATCACAAAGATGTTTTATACAATAACGGTTAAACAAGCACATATTAGTTAAAGAACAATTAATAATTTAAAATTAAACTAAATAATGGTAATATAACACTTTAACAAATAAAAATTTTACGTAATTACACATTTCTGACGATGAAATGCAACTTGTTACCACAATTTTCAAATGTAAACTGTCATGCGCATTATGATGCGCACTATGATGCGCATTATGATGCGCACTATGATGCGCATTATGATGCGCACTATGATGCGCATTGATTCATTTCTCTACTAAATGTTAACGACTTTCTAATTAATTAAAACAGTATTCTTTGTTCATTCCAGCTTTTAAAATAAATAAAATATTATCATATTTACACAAAAATTCATGGATTATTTTTCAATTCTCTTGCATGCAAAACCATTACACTTTCAAGGCCATTACGTCTTCGAAGCTTCCATTAAATGACAATTTATCACAAAGATATTTGATACAATAACAGTTAACAAACACATATTAATAAGTAACACTTAATAATTTAAAATTAAACTTAATATGATAATATAACACTTTAACAAATAAAAATTTTACGTAATTACACATTTCTGCCGATGAAATGCAACCTGTTACCACAATTTTCAATTGTAAACTGTCATGCGCATTACGATGCGCACTATGATGCGCATTATGATGCGCACTATGATGCGCATTGATTCGTTTCACTATTAAATGTTAACGACTTTTTAATTGGCTAAAACATTCTTTGTTCCTTCCAGCTTTTAAAATAAATAAAATATTATCATATACTTACACAAAAATTCGTGGATTATTTTTTAATTCTGCATACAAAACTATTACACTTTCAAAGCCATTACGTCTTCGAAGTTTCCATTAAATGACAATTTATCATAAAGATGTTTGATACAATAACGGTTAAATAAGCACATATTAATTAAGTAACACTTAATAATTTAAAATTAAACTTAATATGATAATATAACACTTTAACAAATAAAAATTTCACGTAATTACACATTTCTGCCGATGAAATGCAACCTGTTACCACAATTTTCAATTGTAAACTGTCATGCGCACTATGATGCGCACTATGATGCGCATTGATTCGTTTCGATATTAAATGTTAGCGACTTTCTAATTGGCTGAAACAGTATTCTTTATTCATTCCAGCAGCGCGAAAATTGAAATATAATATATTATGTGTTAATTAATTTTTAGATTTTTATGGATCTTACCACAATTAAAAATATAATAAATAAATTTTTATAATTAATTCAATATAAAAATTATTAAAATAATAAAAGAATAATACATCTATTATAATAAATCTAAATAAATCTTTTACATTGCTCATGATTTATTACTCTTATAATTTAAAACATTAAATATTAGATCTTGTATTTTATTATATAAGTTGCTTAGTTTATTTTGATTAATATTTTTACTAAATTTAAGAAGTAGAATGTTAATACAAATAATAAGAATGTATGATTTTTTATCACTTCATTTATGATGTTGCATTAAAATTTAATTCAATACCAATCTTTTTTTTTTATTGTTTAGATTGTTATTTATATCACAATTTTTATTTTAATGTTTGTTTGACATTAAGGCAACATCATATCGATTGCAGAGACATCTGATAGCTAATACTACATGAATTGAATTATCTATATGTATTTTAGAGGTTATGTTCATTAGATCAGTTTAAAAACAATAATAAAGATTACTGTTATAAAAAAATTAAGTATTAATTAACAATGAAAATGAGTCAAATAGAATGATTAATGTTTTATTTTAATCTTAGAAATTTCATTATTGCAAATTGTTAATGCATATAAAGAACAAAAATAATTTTTATAATTCATGTGATACACAATTAACAGAATGTATTTAAAACTTATCATTACTTTTTGTATTTTTCACTTAAATTATGCTTGGCAGGTTTGTATAAATATATTATAATTCAATTTTATAATATTCTTATATGTTTTATCATCTTTATGAAATCTAACCTTTTCAGATATCAGAAAATTTTGCTAAGACAGGTCATTCAAATAATTGGGCAGTATTGGTCGATACTTCACGATTTTGGTTTAATTATCGACATGTAGCAAATGTGTTATCCATTTATAGGAGTGTTAAACGCTTAGGTATACCAGATTCACAAATTATTCTAATGATAGCAGATGATATGGCATGCAATCCAAGGAATCCCAGACCAGCTACAGTGTTCAATAATATCAGACAACATATTAATGTTTATGGAGATGATGTAGAAGTAGATTATAGGGGATATGAAGTTACTGTAGAAAATTTTGTGAGATTATTAACTGGACGATTAGCACCAGAAACACCAAGATCCAAAAAACTATTAACGGATGAAGGATCTAATATTTTAATTTATCTTACTGGTCATGGTGGAAATGGATTCTTAAAATTCCAGGATTCTGAAGAAATTACTAGTAAAGAACTTGCAGATGCATTAGAACAAATGTGGCAGAAAAGAAGATATCATGAAATTTTGTTTATTGTTGATACTTGTCAAGCAAGTTCAATGTATGAGAAATTTTATTCTCCAAACATTCTTGCAGTTGCATCTAGCCTAGTGGGCGAAGATTCACTTTCTGTGAGTTTAAGATTATTGCTATGCATATTTCTATCTGATCATTACCAATATCTTTTATTTTATTTGTAGCATCATTTGGATCCTGCCATTGGCGTTTACATTATAGATAGATATACATATTATGCATTGGATTTCTTAGAAAAAGTAGAACCATCTAGTTCCAAAACATTGGGAGAATTTGTAAGTTATATAGAAAATAATTTTTAAATTAAGATTGCATTTATTATATTAATAAACTAATACTTTAATTTTTTGTTTAGCTCAAAGTATGTCCTAAGCATTATTGCTTATCAACAGTAGGAGTAAGAAAAGATTTATTTAGAAGGGATCCTAATAAAGTACCAGTCACAGATTTCTTTGGATCATTGAGACCTGTAGAATTAACTACGAGTATAATGACTGTTTTGCCTGTGAAAATAAATAAGACAAAAACAATCGAACCGGAAAGGAAATATTCTTATGTTCCACAATTTCCAGATGTATCAAAGTTCACGTGATTTATAGAAATAAATATAAATTTCCTAAAAAATTATGTTTGCTTTTCAAATATTTAAAAACATAAAATAATTAAATATTTAATGTTAATAAAAAAAGGTATTTCCTGAAATGTTTTGACTAATTTATTATATTATCATTTCAAATATATTTAGAAAAATTTAAAATATCATATTTTTACGTAATATTTCATCATTTTAGGAAAATAAAAGAAATACTATACTATACATATGTTCAAAAAAATATCAATAAATTGGTATATAGATATGCAATATTATTAGAATATGATGCTATTAGAATATGTAACATGATATCACAAACTTATTACATAAATTTCAAATTAAATTTAAAAAAAAAGCATATAATATTTAATTTCTTTGATTTAATAAATCAGTCATTCATATATTTTATAATTCGAAATTATCTTTAAAAATCTCATTAAATATATTTCAAATACGTGAAATGCATCTTATTCGTTATTGAAACATTGCCTTGCCCTACAATCATAAAAATGGTCACGGTCATAATTAAATTGTCCGAAACTATCTCTCGATGCCAAGAATAGTATAAACAGTTTATGAAAAAAATTTACTATTCATAACATTAACAATGTTTCTTCGTATTACATTATTTCTACGTATTGTATCTATGAATATGATAGATGTTTACGCATATATGTATATATAAGTCATGTAAGTATATAAGTATGATATCAACATCCTCTAGATTCTAAACGTTAGTCAAGAAAACGCGACTGATAGCATCACGCGTTGTTAATCGATCAACGCGAACGAATTTTTGGAAATTGTTAAGATTTTAAAAAAAATTTATCATTTTTCAAAGTTAGTATATTATATATATATTTATACTTATATATATATATATAGTTATATATATATTTTATACTTTTAATTATATTTAATTACAGTTAAATTTTTATTTATATTGAAACTAAATAAATGTAATTTTCTTATTTATAATTTTGTAAGTAAAATAATACAATAGTTACTATATATTGTATTTCAGATATTTTTAAAATTGTTCAAATAATTTTTACAATGACATTATT